AGAGAATTTAGGGACGTTTGTGATGTTGGGTGAAATTAAATATTCTTTTGGACTGATTTACACTTTTAAAAAGTTTGGGCATATAGTTAAAATTCATTCTTTATTTTTCTTTTGTTTTGTTTTATTTTATTTATATTGGAGGGTATAATGGTCATTTTATGTTAAAAATTAAGAAAAAGGACGTTTTGCGTAAAAAAAAGTGAAAGGTAAGGACGTCTCGCGCCAAGAAACGAAAGGTAGGGACGTTTTTCACAAGGACATGCAAAGGTAGGGACGTTTTGCGCCAATTACCCTTTTATATAAAACACATGTATACATCTATTTAATTAATTCAAAAAAATTCAAATGAGATAAATTGCGAACTTTTTAAAAGAAGTGACAACGAATATTACTTTTCTCATTCATATTTGTATTTATATTTTCAAAGTTTAAATATGAAAAGAATTCAAAACTTATAATACTGTATAAAATTAAATATCATAATTTTATTAAAAAGTGATACAATATCATTTTTATTAAGAGTAACGTTTGTCACTCAAAAAAGTTACAAAAATTTAGAAAAATGTAACAAACAATAAAAAAGTAACAGAAATTTCAAAAAAAGTAACAAACATTCAAAAAAGTGATCAAAAATTAAATGGTTAATTTCACAAACAGTCACTGAACTTACGCAAAAATAACAAAACGGTCACTAAAATTCAAAACTTGCAGAAACGGTCATTAAAGTTTCATGTGCCTTCACAAACGGTCACTGGAGTTTAAGTTTCTTTCACAAATGGTCACTGGAGGACCGTTATGCCTTTAATTCAAACATAAAGGATTAAAATAAGCACATCCGAATTTTGGACAGTTTGAAGGTGCCAACTTTGGACCACCATAACTCAGCCCTCCGGCCACTTTTTTCCACGGACCAATATACCATATTGAAGCTCTCAATGCTCTCTTAACAACACATCCAACCACTAGCCGTGATCCTATCGGAATTGGCCAAAAAATCGTGCCAAAGTGAGCTACCCGGATTTTGGACAGCTTGGAGGTGTCAACTTTGGACCGCCATAACTCCGTCCTCCGGCCACCTTTTTCCACCGACTAATATACCATATTGAAGCCCTCAATGCCCTTTTCAAAACCCACCCAACCATTGACCTGAGCCCATCGGAATTGGCCGAAAAAAGGAGCCAAGTGGGCTTCCCATGCAGAGCCTGCCGTCCAAAATCCGGCTGTGCATGGGTAGCCCGCTTTGTCTCCTTTTTCCTGCCAATTTCGACGGGATCACGACCGATGGTTAGGTGAGGTTTGAAGAGGGCATTGAGAGCTTCAATATAGTATATTGGTCCGTGGAAAAAGGTGGTCGGAGGACGGAGTTATGGTAGTCCAAAGTTGGCACCTCCAAGCTTTCCGAAATCCGACTGTGCTCACTTGGTCCTTTATGTTTGAATTAAAGGCATAACGGTCCTCCAGTGACCATTTGTGAAAGGGCATGAAACTTCAATGACCGTTTCTGCAAGTTTTGAATTTTAGTGACCGTTTGTGAAATTAACCCAAAATTAAAAAAAGTGATAAATATTAAAAAATGACAAAGCTCCAATCAAAACATATGTTTGTTACTCAAACAAGTGACGTAAACTTTTTAAAAAGTAACAAATAATAAAAAAGTGACAAAATAAAAAAAAATGACAAACAATATTTTAAAAAGTGACAAACACTTAAAAAAAGTAACAAACACACAAAAAAAAATGATAAAACACCAATGAAAACCTATGTTTTTCACTCAAAAAATTGATCGAATTTTTTTAAAAAAAAAACAAAAAAAAGTGACAAAAAAATGACAATTTTCAAAAAAAGGTGACGGGAAAAAAAAAGTGACAAACACAGTTCAAGAATGTGACACACACTCTAAAAGTGACAATTTTTTTTTTTTAAAAAAGAGACAAAGTATCAATCAAAATTTATGCTTGTTACTCAAAAAAGTTATAGAAATTGAAAAAAGTAATGAACAATAAAAAAAGTGATAAAAATTTCGAAAAAGTGACAAAAACAGGTGACAACTCAATGCTTTTAGATTGGGGTTAATTTCACAAACGGTCACTGAATTTACGTCAAAATTGCAAAACGGTCACTGAAATTTAAAACTTGCAACGGTCACTGAAATTTAAAACTTGCACTAACGGTCACTGAAGTATCATTTGATTTCAGTTATGGTCACTGAAGAACCTTTTTCATTTTAATTGGAACTTAATTGACCAAAATAGTTAACTTGAACCTTGAAGACCTAAATCGCAGATTAAACCATAAAACCTATATCGTCTTTGATGGAGAAGAAACGTCAACAAGGGGGAGAAGGGAAAATTGGAGGAAGAATCGAAGGCGGAGGCCGAAATGGATTCCGAGGAAACATGGATGTTGGTGGAAGCAAGTGGTTAGGAGGAAGAGAAAATATAGATGGTGGTGGCTGCAAGGGATTGGGAGGAAGTATAGACGGTGGATTAAGTAGAATTGGTGGGAAAATAGAAGAATCAGTCACTTCTTTATCTACTAATCCAGACGCTTTTGTAGAGTCCTTGAGTGTTGTTTGCTTCTTGGGCACTGCTGGTGGAAATTTTGGCATTCCTAGAAGGGGCGACAGAAATGCTTATTCTTATTGTGGGAATGGAATATATGAGAGAACTATTGGGTTTTGGGTGTGGTAGAAATGCTTCATTTCTGGCTTCTTTATGCTCACATGGACTCAATTTATTAACGTCTTCTTCATTATTTTCTGGTACATGAATATTATTAGGGAGATTTCCATGCTGCTTTAAATTTTGCGACAGTTATGGAGGCCCCAGTCATATTTTTCTACCGAAACAATGGATGGGCCATTAGCACCCCAGTAATGGATCAGTTTCGAAGTATATTCCCTTCTCATTGCCTATTTACACAATTACACATTTGCCCTTTTAACCAAGGTCTTCAATTTATGGATAAGCGAATGAATTTTTTTGTATGGGTAGTGTTTTTGTAAGCTTGGTTGTACACTATGTAGGAGAGGACATAGCGGTCGGCGGAGGAGGCAAGCGGATCGGAGAAAATCGCGAATAGGCAAAAGGAGACATTGGTGGTGTTTTTGCAGATTTGGGTGGTGAGTTGAGAAGAATCTAGGTTAGGAGAAGCTGAGGTGAAAATGGAAGTTGAAAAGCAAAGGAACAAGGTGAAGATGAAAAAGTGAAGAGCACCAGAAATCGCCATTGTTGGTTCAGATGATAGAAGGTCGGGGATTTTGAATTGGTGGTGCAATTTGCAATTTAGGTTCTCAAGGTTCAAGTTTCAACTATTTTGATCCATTAAGTTTCATTAAAATGAAAAAGGTCCTTCAGTGACCATTATTGAAACCAAATAATATTTCAGTGATCGTTAGTGCAAGTTTTAAACTTCAGTGACTGTTTTGTGATTTTGACGTAACTTCAATGATCATTTGTGAAATTAACCCTTTTAGATTGTCTTGGAAAGCCTAGGATTACCTTGAATATTTCAACGAATAGTGTCTATAGTCATTGTCAACGTTAATATTAGGTACAATCAAGAGGATTCAAAAAAGTGACATAACACCAATTAAAATATTGAAATCAGTTTAATAAAGTGACAGAAATAAAAAATATAAGTGACACAATCACCGTTCATTCTCTTTCTTCGTTCACCATCAAGCATCTTAAATCAATTCACAAAATACCAATCAAAACGTCAAGCATCTTTAAGTCAATTCACCGCCACATCATCTACCAATTCAACCAAATCTTCGTTCACCATCAAGCATCTTAAATCAATTCACAAAATACCAATCAAAACGTCAAGCATCTTTAAGTCAATTCTCCGCCACATCATCTACCAATTCAACCAACCTATTAATCGTATAAAATAAAATGTTGGAAGTAAAAGTGACATACAATGTCCTTGGTGTTACAAGAGATTATTTGTGAGTCCCTACCATCGTTAGATTGCAAGTTTGCTCACATTTATGTTAATAGAACATAAGGATAAAATTTATGATGATATAGAACAAATAAAAAGGCCGACTAACGTAATCAGAAATGTCATTCTTCACCAACGTCATTGCCACACTATTTGTCTCCTCTTGTCGAAAACAACTCTGAAAGACTTGTTCTCAGCATCACCATTGTCACCACATCAAGAACTGGCACCAGAGCTAAATCTGGTTTTTCCTCAAGCCATCAAAAGTACCACAATGGAGTGCGATAACTTGGGATCCTCTCGTCAGCATCAAAGGCTCAAATAGTTAAACAAATGAAATACCAAACCCTCAAATCGATCATTGAGTGAATCTTGCCTCAAACGAAATTCAAAATAAAGAAGCACAGCACATAGAATTGATACAAGTAACCCATCGAGAAATAGTACAATTGAACTAAAAACACGAGCATGCACATCCTAAGTGATCCTCAATATTTTAGTAGTTGCTATTTACTTCTATTGCTCAACACAATGCATCACAAATCAGGATGACGGAGATTAGTAATGCAATCATGTGTTGACAGTCATTGGCAGAGCAACCCATATTAGTATTTCTTGGTAGAGCAACCAGCATAAAGGCAAGCTAACACACTCGCACTTTCAAATATAAAGAACTTAGTTATCATCACGTATTGATATTATTTTCTTATCAAATAAAACCGAAACCAAAGTAAAACACAAAATCAATGTGCAGCTTTTATACCTTAAGGGATGAATAAACTTGGAATTCACATTGTAGAGATAGAACACATTATGATTTCAAAGGGCAAAAGTCAAGCAAATCAAAACCATCAAAGATAGATAGATATAAACAAGCCAAGTTATTTATGAACAACAGTAAATTCAAATTCATATGTAGGTTTTTATTCTTGCCAGATTTCGACACATTAAGTGTATTATTCTAATTAGTTTAAGTGTATTATTCTAATTAGTTTCCTTTTTAAAGTAGTGGGCCTAATTATACCATAATTTAGTCCTGTTTGACTCCCATTGAAATAAATTTATTTATTTTTCATAGTTATTTTCAATCACATATTCACACAATAAAATCTTTTGCAAGTAAATCCAAAATTTTTCCCTACATTTTAACCACACATTCTTCAAAAAATTCACTATCCAAAACATCATTTTTTTCTCAATTTCTCTTTATAATAGTTGTCAAACAGGGGCTTAATTTTATTCAATTTGCCATACTAAACATACTTTAATTCTATCATTTAGAACGTGTCCTACACTCCTACTATTATGATTATCAAAGATGTGCAAATATCTCATTATTGATATTATTATGACGATTTTTGTGATTATTTTTTCATTTACTCTTTATAATTATAAAATAGAATAATATATTTACGTCGTGTTTATATCTTATTGAACTTAGTTAATAATATTCAAAAATTAAATATTACTGTCTTCAGTTCCGCGAAACATATCTTTATAAACGTTGAAATAAAAAAAATATAATTAAAAACTAAAGTATTTATTATCAGCGAATCAATTATGACAAATCATTTAAATGACATAAATAAACTAGTAATCAACCTTGTGGAGGAAGCAACTAACAGGCATAGGAGACCAACCTCTGCATGCGTGCATCATATATATACGTATATTTAAAATACTTCTTTATTACTTTTATTTATTATATTATAAATGATGACAAATTAGTAATACCTTTTGTTTGACTAAAGAATCATATTACTCGATCCATTTTCTTAGCACGTATGAGAGTTGACGCTTGTCCAGTGTCGATAGGTCTAGAAAGTTGATAACGTGATTATAAAGGAGATGACGATTGAAGTCCTTGGTGAACGACACTCCCCTCCCAAGCAAGAGAGACTTGCTCTACCAAGTCGGAAACGATCGATTGGTTCGTCCAACCAAGAAAGGTAATGTGTGTCGTCGGGGTACGAGTAATTCTTCACTAAAGGTAATGTATGTCATCAGGGTATAAGTGATTCTTCATTTTCTTTCGACTACATGAACTCTTCTGTAAACGGTGTGTGTGTGTGTGTATGCGAGTGTACAAGCATTATGTAATCATTATAATCAATAGAGGCACCGGCGGAGATAGGGGTGGGCTGTAGCCCACCATTACCCAGGCCCAGGTTATTAATTTTTTTAAAACCCAATTTAGCCCACTGTCCAACCAATAGCCTAATTTTTGTTGAAGCCCAATTTCACCCTCTCAATTTGAGAAACCCAATTGCAACCCTCTCTCTCACAAGTCAAATGGCCTTTACCGGCAAAACCCTCACAGCCTCTGCCTTTGCCTTTCTGCTCTCTTTGACTCTCTCAACCAAAATGGCGAACCAAACCCTCCCGTCAAGGCGTCAACCGAAGTCCAGCAACCGGCAAAGTCCGAACGCCGTCTGTGAGAAAGGCGTTCTCACAGTTCAATTAAATCCGGTTACCGAACGCCGTCTGCCCGTCTCGTCTCATTCCTTTTTCTGGTGGCAATCGCGACACCAAGGTAACTAGGTAAGGTCTACAAAATGCCTAAATCTAGAGTATAAACGAGCATATTTAGATGAAGTAGTTCAATTTAAAAAAGTTCACTCCAGTCTTCAAATCTTGACAGGAAGTTCGTGTTTTTTGTGTGTAGTGTGTGTGGTTGTGACTGTGAATTGTGCTTCAGGCTTCAGTTCAGCCTTCATTTGCGTGCCAGTAAGGTATGTTTGCGCTTTGTGGCCTTCAATTGTGTTTGTAAATTATTTGTAATTGTGTCATTGTATGTGCAGTGCAGTAAATAGTAATGCAGTTAGATGGAAATTGGAAAAGTTCAGTGATATTTGATAAAATGGAAAAGTCCAGTGATTAATTGTGTGTGTGTGTGTGTGTAGTACAGTGCAGTGTAGTGATGCAGTTAGATGCATTGATGCTGAGGCCACGTTAGTGATTAGATGGGCTGCTAGTTGCTAAAATTTATAATTGTACTCCATTGAATAATTTGAAATTGAACGGCTGCTAGTTGCTAAAATGGGAAAGTTAGTTTGGGAATTTAGCCACTAACAATTTAACCTATGATGTAATGATAAGAATTTATAGGATATTGAAGTTTTTTTGATATTTATGCTCTTAGATTTAATATAGAGGAAGATCGACCTTCTTTCAAGAAAGGAAGAACTTTGTTACCTTTCTTTTCAAAGAGTAACAAATATCAGGGTATTCCAATTCCTACGGCATCCACTCCAAATCCAATTTCATCCCCTGAAAGTTGAACGATCTTCATGTTCTAATCTTAATGTGGAACCATTTGAAGTTAG